TGATGCAAATCTGACCAGTCAGGATGGTTCGAGTTTGGAAGTTCCCAGAAGTTAGAGGTATTTTGTAACATAATTCTAAATGCTTAACCTGATAACCTGGGCTTAGGTACACAATTTATAAAAGCCTGGGACTTATTTTACCTTTAAACCTTTCTCCATCTGGTCCAATCTCTGTCTCTCTAGACTAGAAATTCAAATCAGAAAGGTAAAGTCTCAAGTTCCAAGGCAACCTGTAGAAGAACTTACCTCAACTTCCACCTTTGTGAAGGGCTGGCAGAAGGTGAGCATGCAAAGCTGAATGCTGCAGAGAGAAAAATCAAGAGTTCGCTTTGGATGTTCCTACAAGTATCACCTGTCAATCATCCTTTTTCACACACCCCAGCCCGTGCCACACGTCATACGTATTTTAAAAATGACATCCTGACTTTAACACTACTTGGGCTTACACAACCATTCTTGAGATTTAAAGTTAAATCACCAAAGGCAATACCAAATATGCATTTGTGATCTGAGCTGCAGCCCAGCAGACTCAATTCCAAATTGGAAGTTTTCTTGACAGCAAGGACTCATAGACCTAATTCCCTAAAAACAAAACAAAACTACCCAGGGTTGAATTTTAAGGTATATAAACAAAATGATAATAAGCAAGCTCCCAAGAAGGAGATCATGCTTTGCTAAATTCTTTTCTGACATTAAAGTAACTAGTGGAACTTTCCTTAAAAGTAAAAACTTTATCATAATTATTTCAGTACAGTACCTAATAAAAATTTTAGTTATGAGGAAAATTTCTGAAGTTTCAAATTGTACTGTAAAGCTAGGATTGGTTAAACAATACTCTCAAAGATATTTTGTGAAATAATTGTTTTTACTTGCAGTTTTCCAGTAAATGTTTAGCCTCCCTAAATAACATTTCTATGGAATTTTGAATTTAGCCTTATTTAGACAGATGATTCAGAAAATCCGGCAGAATGTATTAGATTATATGGTTAAGGAAGTAACCAACCAATCCTTTCTTAATGTATGACTTATCTAGAGATATCAATGAATTTATCTATAAATATCAAAGGGACTTAGTTGAGATAAGAAACTTGGGAAGTTAACCAAGGAATTAAACTAAAAGAACTTAGGAAATAGGAGATTCTAGGAAATTAGAGACTTCCATAACTAAGTATAAATTGTTAGTGTAAATACCACTTCTCAAGCTTTTCATCTGAACGAAAAAAAATCTTGGCTTATCAACACCGTGCCAAAAAAAATTAGTCAGCATTATCTTCCGTAAAGTAAACTGTTATTTAATTATTTCAATTGAGCTTTGGAATTCAATTATCTGTTAGACGCATTCCGTAAATTCTGAATGCTACCAAAAAAAAAGCCAAAAAACCAATCGTGAGATCTCATTAAACTTGCCTTGTCCATATGAACCAAATGACACGAACACAAAACCACTTTGCCAGAACTGCCCCCTCTCTAAATTTATTCCCTGACTCGCTTCGCTCTAAGGACATAACTCTGGTTGAACATCTCCTCTTTAGACTCTGAGTCTGAGAGTAGCAGTAGGAGTCAGGGTGATGGAGAAAAAGATTGCAGATGTATTAGACATACTGCTAACAACATTAAGTAGACCAGAAGACAAAGGTGAAAATGAGATCTGTCACGGATCAGTGTCATGTGGCGATCAGACAAAACCAAAAACTATAAAGTTTTCTGTTTTTGCTTGGAAATCCTAGGAAATCTTCAATTCTTGAAAAGATCTTTTTTCTTAGTTTTCTGTGTTTTCTCCTATTTTCCTTTTCTCTTTCTCACAGACTTCCAAAGTTAGAAGTCTAGATTAACTAAACTATTCGAAATCCTGGTGTGATTCTGTAGGATACGCACTGGACTGCTAACCAAAAGGTTGGTGGTTCAAACCCACTAGCCACTCCTTGGAAACCCTATACCGGGTCACTATGAGTCAAAACCGACTTGATGGCACTTAACAACAAAACGCCTTCTAGAAAAGCCTTCTCTCACTTGACTTTCACATTTATCTGGGTGGCTACACAACCAAGGAGTCCTGGTGTGGTGCTGTGGGATAATGCATCCAACTGCAATGTCATTTGAACTGCAAGGTCAGTGGTTCAAGCTCCTTGGAAACCCTATAAAGGATTGCTATGGGTCAGAATCGACTCGACGGCACTTAACAACAACACTACCAAAAAGCGTCATCTTAACCGTAGAGTGAAGCCAAAGTCACTATCTCTAGAGGATCTAGAAACCTAAAAGATGAGATTCCTCAGGAAATATAAATATGCTACCCATTTAATTTTCAGGCACTTCTGCTTTCCCAAATGCTTTCACATCACTTGCTTCTCTTAATCTTCCGTACGTACAGAAGCTTAAAATAAGGAATTCAAATTCAGTGGTGGCATAAAGCATATTTTCTAGCTGAATGAGTAAGTTTAATTCCAAGACAGTTAAAGCATAATACAACATCTAGATACCCTTTAAAATGTCTTTCTTTTGGGTGATGTTTGCTTAATTCCAACTGCCAATAACGGATGCTTAACACATATCAAATGTGTCAATGTTTCATCCACTCGCTCAGCAGCTACCTAGTTTGATTTCAAAGCAATATAGACACAAAAAGATAAGAGGGGAAAGAAAGCATGATGTATATATTTATATGTATTTATACTTTTGTGATTTCCCTTTAAATATTTTCATGTGGTGTCACCTAGCCATCACCAATATTAGCTGAACTCTGTGCAGAACACCAATCAAAAGGCCCTCCTGCGTAAGTCCCTGGGGAAAGTCATCAAAGCCAGGTGTCTGACATGGCTCTCAGCAAAATTTAAGCAGGCTCAGACTATCCAAGGGAAAGTAAACAAAGGGTCTTCCTTTGACATGCTCTTCCTGGTCTGGTGCTGTAGGATGCACACTGGACTGCTCACGCCAAGGTTGGCCTTTCACACCCAACAGCTTCTCCTCAGAAACCCTATACAGGGTTGTTGAAAATTGGACTCTTGGAGTAGCGCTGTAGGATCAACACTGGACTGCGAACCACAAGGTCGGCAGTTCAAGCCCAAGAGTTGTTCCGCTGAAACCCTATATACAGGGCTACTGAGTTGGAACTGACTCAATGGCACTTAACAACAAGAACATTTCACTTCAGCTTGCTCGACAGTGAAACTGTATCCCTCTTCTCTCTTAGTGCTTGTAGAAACTGCTGATCCTATGCTTTTACAATCCAGGAAGAGAACTGAAAGCTTGGTTAGCTATTTTCTCAAATTAGACCCATCTTAACCATTTCAGGTTATATGACTAAGTTGTTCTGCACTGTTCAAACCAATATAGAAAAGTAAAGATGGGGGCATTAGATAACAAATCTGCAGAGGAAATGAAACTACAAAATTAAAGTTAAGTATGTACAAATGACTAGAATGTTCCTTAAGAACGCATCATCAGAACACCATGAATTCTGCACATAGTGATCTCAGAGATTAGTGGGCAAGACAGCGATGCTTTTGGCAGAGAATTATCAGCTGCAAGACTTAAAACTAATCAGCAGTCTTCATGTTTACCTAAACACAAGGCTTTAAAACAAATAAGAGATGATCTATCTTCTTCACTACAGTCATATGAACATAAACTAATGACAGACAAAAGCAACTTACAAGGTATATCCCTGCCACGTCCAGGTCACAGTGTCCTACAATAAAAGAAGTACCGCACTGTCAGTTCAGGAAAAGACGCACCAAATAAAAACAAAGATGTTATCTTAACACTTGTAGTCAAGTCAACATTTGTCTTCAGCTTTCCTCTGAAATGAGGTGCAGTATGTATCTTATTACTCATAAACAACAGCACTAATCATGATTTATATCAATCAACAGTGAGTTGATCTCTGGATACTTGGCTTCACAAGATGTACAAAGAAACAATGACCTCCCTTATTGTCACCGATTTCTTAATGGAAATAAGTTGTTCTGAATTTGTTATAATTAAGAAACAAACATTGTGCATGCTCAGCTACTTTTTTTTCTCCTAACGGGAACATTTGGAGTCCTGGTGTGGCACTGTAGGATAAGCACTGGATGGCTAATCACAAGATCGACAGTTCAAACCCAACAGCCACTCCTCGGAAGCCTTATGCAGACAGGGTGGCTATGGGTCAGAACCAACTGGACAGCACACAACAACAACAACAACATGAATGCAATTTGCTTGCAAGTCTGGAACCTATCAATTCTAGAAAAAAATAAGAATTTGGGAGAAAAGATTGAGAGTCCATAGTCAAAGAATTTGAATACATAATTCAAAGCTACAGGCAGAAGTACAGTAAGTAAAAACTTGATACATTTTAATTTGTTTACAAATTATTTTAATTTTTTGTGTTGTTGAAAATACACACAGCAGTTATAACCATTCAACAATTTGTACATGTGCATGCAGATCAGTGACATAGATTCCATTCTTTGAGTTGTGCAACCCTCCTTACCCTCTTTGATTTGTTATTTACATTACTATAAGCCCACTGCCCCCTAGGTGTCCATCGAATCTTTTGATATACTGTTGTCCATCTGATTCCTTATAGCGAGTTCTCAAAAGAGTAGAATGTGGGACCCTATCCAGAGGAACAGCGACACCAGAGATGGAGGCAGAGATGAGGATACAGAGAGAGGGAGCAACTAAGGTCTCTGGACTCATGGAAAGAGAAAGGCTGTGTGCTGGCAGCCAGGAGGCAGGCTTACAGAATGTGCCCTCTGGTTGTTTTAATGACTATATATTCCTGAGTGTTTTTGTGTACATCCAAAAAATAACTAACTAAATAAATAAATAAGAAAAAAAATTTAAAAATGAGGGAATAGAAGCAAATACTGTTGAATGATGATGCATGGAGGGGGTTGTAATCATTGCAATGAAATGAAATATGACAGAATAAACCAATGTCCTTCCATGTGAACTGTCACTCAATTTACAATGAAAGTTTCAAAAAAAAAGGAGGAGAGAGTACATGCTCAAGGCAGACATTTTTTTAAAGTTCAACTATTGTTAAGCTTAAAGAAGACTCCAAAATGAAGAACAGAATTTCAAATTCTCCTGAATTCAGACTTTCTGGAACCACTGAGATGGGATAAACCCCCAAAATGATTGCTCCAGGATAATCTTTAAGCCTTAAACCAAAAAAAAAAAAAAAATCCCCTGAAGTCTTAATTCTTTTTTTTTTTTTCCATTAAAAAAGCCCAAGGTTAATAAAATAGCCACTGAGCAGAAAGTTAAAATGTACAGGAACTCTTAATCCTCAATATCACAGATAATTAATAACTCTGAGTCAATTCTGACGCATCACGACCCCATGTATATAGAAGTTGTTGCTGTTGCTAAATATCATCGAGTCAGTTCCAAATCATAGCGACCCTGTATAGAATTTTGAGAAGTGGCTGGTGGGTTTGAACTACCAACCTTGCAGTTAGCAGTACAGTACTTATCCTACAGAACCTTTTAAAAATGAAAGGTGGCTAACTGAATGAGTGGACTCATTCCTCTACTCACTGAAACATTCAAACTTTATTTAAAATTAAGAGAAATCCTAAGAAGTCCTGGTCGCTTAGTGGATCAGGAGCTGGGCTACTACCCAGAAAGTCAATAGTCTGAATCTAATCTAAGAGAGACAGGAGAGGCCTTCTGCTCCTGCAAACATTCACGGCTGGGCAATCCTACACAGAGCTGGATTGGAACCCACTCTATGGCACATCACCCCCAGCCCCAAGGAATCCCTGATGTTTGGAATGTTTGACATTTTTCTGTAGTAGATTATGCTTACCAGCTTGTTTGGGTATCTGAGGAGTATCGGCTGCACTGGAACTCCAGGAATGAAGGCTCCTAAAACCGTAATGAAATTGTATGACATGCTGTTTAGTTATTCTAATAAGAGTTATACAATAAAGGGAAAAAATGATATAAATATATTGGCAACGAGTACAAAGAAATCAATTGCTAAATGTTAGTAAATTCTAGCATTTATCAAATTTAGAGATTTTTTTTAAAATTCATGATTATTTAAGCAAAATATTGAATGCTGTACCTAAGGCACTTTAAGTATTTATGACACCGCCACGTCTTTTCACTCTCCAAGTATCTATGCTCAACAGAATTTTGGTTGGTTGGTTGGTTTTTAAAGGGAGGCATGACAAAACTCAAGACAATGAGAAAAGAAGAAGTGAATCTGGAGGAAAGCAAATGTTTGAAGCAAGGGTCATCACATATGCTAGACGTCTAGTGAGTCAGACCCTTGCTCTGACGTCATCGGTCAGCACAACAGCATTAAAGGACAAGTCACTATGAGAGCTGCAGTCTGGACTTCATAATGTCATAATAGGAGTGGACTCAGAAAGCATTTCAAGACATTATAAAACAAAGAAAACTACAAAATACTACTACAAGAAACCAAAAGAGACTTACAAAAATGGAAATGTACCATGCTCCTGGATAGGAAGACTTAACATTGTGAAAATGTCAAGACTGCCCAAAGCAATTTACACACATAATGCAATTCCAATCCAGATTCCAACAACATTCTTCAGAGAGATGGAAAAAACAATTACAAACTTTATATGGAAAGGAAAGAGCCCCAGGATAAGCAAAGCACTGCTTAAGAGGAAGAACAAGGTTGGAGGCCTCTCACTACCCAATTTCAAAATTTACTACATGGCTACAGTGGTCAAAACAGCTTGGTACTGGTACAATGAAAGATACATAGATCAATGGAACAGAATCAAGACTCCAGAAATAAATTCATCTACATACAGCCAACTGATTTTTGACAAAATACCTAAATATATCACATGGGGAGGTGATAGTATCTTCAACAGATGGTGCTGGCAGAACTGGAAAGTGATATGCAAAAGATTGAAACAAGACCTTCACCTCACGCCTTACACAAAACCAACTCAACATGGATTAAATACCTAAATGTGAATCCCAGAATTATGAAGGCCATCAATGAAAAAATAGGGACAAATGTTGAGGGCACTAATTCAGGGAATACACAGACTACCAAACATTTTCAAATCAACACAAACAAAAGTAGGCAAAACAGATGATTGGGGCATACTAAAAATTAAAAACTTATGTGCCTCAAAAGACTTCACCATAAGAGTAAAAAGGGAACCCTTTTTAAGAAGAGAGGGCATATGCACAAGAACACCCACACTTGCAGATAATACCCACTTGACCTGGCTTCAATGACTGAAGGATCAGAGCTCAACTAGAAGAAAGAAGAGGGGAAAAAAAAAATGAACCTGACCTACACCTATGGATGCAGTAGCTCAAAAGAGGGAACAAATCTTTACAGCAAGGATCATTC